TCTATCGCTTGAGAGCAAAAAAGTCATCTAGCAGACTACTTAGAGGTAGGCTCACCAGCAAGTGTAAATTGGTATCAAGTTTTTTTTAAGGTTGTTTACATATATATACTTGGCAATATATATATATATATATAAACAACCTTAAAAATGTTCTAACCTTGGACTTCCCTTCTAGGAATCTATCCCATGGGAATAATCTGAAATGTGGACCAAAATATATGTAAAGAAAAGTTCATCTCAGCATTATTTAAAATAGCCAAAAAAAAAAAAAGCAAATAAATATGTCTTAATAGATGGATAGTTCAACTTTCAAATGGGATTGAAAACCATATTTATGTCCACTTGTAACTGCATCATATGAAAAGGGCTGGTCAAATAATTATCAAATTTGGAGTGCTTGAATGAGATAATCTGACTTCAAACAGCACTTTAGAGGCATACTCAAAATATATTTGGGGGATCTACACTTTTAGAGATGGGCTGTCTTTCCTCAGAGCAGCTGCAGGTATGAATTAGAAATTCAGTAGTTTCAAAAGAGGCAACTCCAACTCATTTGGTATATGCTTAGGAGAAAAGCAGAAAGGCTTCATTTAACAACAGTATAATGGGCATAGCATAACAATGATTGTGAGGATGATGCAGGACCAGGCAGTGTTTCGTTCTGTTGTACACAGGGTTGCTGTGTGTAGGAATCAACTCGACGGCACCTAACAACAACATAATGTGCGTGTTTTTTTGTCTGCCCAGAGCATCTTTGGACAATCATTTTTTCCCCATTGTTAGTCTATATGGTTGGTGGGGCTGACACCACCTCTTAGCCGCAGAAGTCTGGACCGTGTGTAGCAGGCCTGGGTAATGACAGTACTCCCTACCCTTCCTTGGTCACAGTGATTGGGTCAGGGACTCATGACCCATTATAGCAATTTAAGACTTCTCTGGTACTTTTGTTGGAATTATCAGAAGAGAGGCCCTCTTGCTTCTGAGACAATGGGCCATCGTTACCATCATGGAGACAGCCTACCTGAGAAATGAAGCCACCAGAGGAATGCAGAATGAAAACGTAAAGACAAAAAGAGTCTTGATGACACTGGCTGAAGCTGTAGACGCATCCATGCCTCAAGTCAACATCATATCTGGATTTTTCAGTTATATAAACCAAATAAATCCCCATATTGGTTTAAACTGGTTTGAGTATTTGTCACTTACAACCAAAAGAATTATAGGTAAATATGCCAAAATATGGGTTTCTTGAAGTTTGGGAATTATGTGATTATTTTCTTCTTCTCTTTTTTACTTGTGGTAAAACTATAATAATACAACATTTGCCAGGTGAACAATTTTTCTGCTTCTTGATATTTTTCTACATATTCTAAAAGAACTATTCTTTTTACAATGAGTATTACTTTTTATAATCCCTTCTTTCCTACAAGCCCATCACTCTTGTAATTCTTTCTTTCCTCCATTATCATTTTTTCCTCATCTAGTGGATCATTTCTATATAAACTAGATATAACTTGCCTTACGTTAAAAAATCCTCTTAAGCCTACACATCCTCCAGCTACTGCCTCATTTCTTTGCTCTCTTTACAACAAACTTCTTCTAAAGAGTTGTCCATCCTTGCCCTCTCCAGCTCCTCTCTTCCCATTCCCTCTTTTTTTCTCTCTAAATTTTATTTATTTTGTTGTGGTTGAGAATATATACACCAAAACACACCAATTCAAGTTTCTACATGTACAATTTACTGACACTGATTAACATTCTTTGAGTTCTGCATCCATTCTCATCCTCCTTTTCTGAGGTTGTCCCTACCTCATTACATAAACTCACTGTCCCCCTCCTAAGATTCCTATCTATTCTTTTGAGTTGCTGTTGTCAATTTGATTCCATACGTATAGTTCTTAAAAGAGCTGTTATGGATTGAATTGTGTCCCCCAAAAATGTGTGTCAACTTGGCTAGGCCATGATTCCCAGTATTGTGTGATTGTCCTCCACTTTGTGATCTGATGTAATTATCCTATGCGTTATAAATCCTAACCTCTATTATGTTCATGAGGCAGGATTAGAAGCAGCTATGTTAATGAGGCAGGACACAATCTATAGGATTAGGCTGTATCTTGAGTCAATCTCTTTTGAGATACAAAAGAGAGAAGTAAGCAGAGAGGAGAGGGACCTCATACCACCAAGAAAGAAGAGCTAGGAGCGGAGCACGTCCTTTGGACCCGGGGCCCCTGCACTGAGAAGCTCCTAGACCAGGGGAAGATTAAGGACCTTCCCCCAGAGCACACAAAGAAAGAAAGCCTTCCCTGGGAGCTGGTGCCCTAAATTTGAACTTGTAGCTTCCCAGACTGTGCAAGAATAAATTTCTGTTTGTTAAAGCCATCCACTTGTGGTATTTCTGTTATAGCAGCACTAGAAAACTAAGACAGAGCATAATGCTCACGGCAGACCTTTTTTACTAGTTAAGCTATACTACTGTTCAGTTTTAAGATGACTTCCGGGGATATTTTTGGTTTAAGGTTTAAAGATTATCTCAGGTCAGCAGTTTCAGGGGTTCACCAGTCCCTTTTAAACCTATCCCAATCAGGGTTTCATCCCTACCAGTCCTCTGAAACTGCATGTCAAAGTTATTAATGACCTCCACTTAGCTAAATACAAGCATTAATTCTCAGGTCTTATCTTATTTGATCCATCAGTAACATGTGATACAGCTGACCACTATTCCTTTGGTTTCCAAGACACCATTCTCCTAGTTTCCTCCTAGCTTATAGGCCGCTGCTTCTGATACTTGTGCTAGTTCTTCCTCATGATCCAAGCATCTAAACATTAGAGGGCTCCAAGAGCTTAGTTCTTAGACCTCTACTCTTCTCTCTCTGCACTCCCTCCTATGATTTCATTCAGGCTTAAATAATCACATATATGTGAACAACTCCTAGTTTTATATCTCTAACCAGTACCTCTCCCTTGATCTCCAGAATCAGATAGCCAACTGCCTACCTGACAGTTTCACTTGGATGTCTAATAATTTATCTCAAAGTCAACATGTCCAAAACCAAACTCCTAATCCTTCTCCCACAGTCTTGTCCATCTCAGTAAATAGCATCTTTATCCTTTCAGTGGCTTAGTCCAAAATCCTTGGAGTCATCCTTGACTTTTTCCTTTACACCCCACATCCAAATTACCAGCAAATCCTGTTAGCTCTGCCTTCACACTATATCCAGTAACTGACTACTCAGCAACCTCCACTGCTACCACCTGCTCCAAGCCAACCATAATTTCATGCTGGATTACTGATATAACTTCCTAACTTGTCTTCCAGCTAGCCTCGTCAAGGCTCTACAGAGCAACCAGTCCAATCTGTTTAAAACGTAAGTCAAACCATGTCACTCTTTGTTTAAAACTTTACCAGAGTATTTTGTCAGAATAACAGCCAAAGTCCTTAAAATAATTTATAAGGCCCTCCAGGATCTCCCCAACCCTTTCCTTTAACCTCTTTGGCCTTATTTCCTATTACTTTTCCTCCCTTGCTCTCCCTTGAACATACTTCCAACCTTTTGCACTTGCTGTTCCTTCTCCTTGGCATGTTCTTTCCAGATAGATGTTAATGGCTCACTCCTTCATCTCCTTTAGGTTTTTGCTCAAATAATACCTTTTATCAAGGTCTTCTCTAACTATCCTATTTAAAAGATGACCCTACCTTCTCTCCATGCTTGATTTTTAGCCATGGCACTTATCACTATCTGACATATTTTGTGTTTTACTTGTTGACTGACTCTCTCTTCCCATTAGGGTTAGGAATTTTGACTGTTTTGTTCATTGCTGTATGCCCAATACCTAGAACAATGTCTCGAACATAAAGGGCACTCAAAAATACTTGCTGAATAAATGAATGAAGAAAGAAATAGGAAAAAATGTCAATAGGACTTGGTGGCTTATGACTTCCACAAATCCTGGGGTATACAAAAATTGGACATATTTTTTTAAGGAGAAAACTGACCAACAGGTATGCAGTAGATTAAAAAATATATATCCACAGCCAGTCTTCATACTCCAGGACCCTCTCCTTTGGCATAACAGGGGAGTAGGCTGAAGGGTCTGAGGGATAGGGGGATGTCTGTCATACTCCTTCTTTCTCCAGGACCATGTGCGTCACATAGGGAGTGGAGTGAGATATTCTGCTGTCTCCTAAGCTGAACAACGGGTTAATGACCTCCACGTATCTAAACATAAACAAGAATCTTTATATATAAAGGGATTTATACATAAATACTTTTAAAACTCTAAGGTGCCAATTAATTAATTCAGCAAATACTTACTGTGTACTATCACTTCATATACTTGGTATTAAGTACATTTTTAGGGGTACAAAGTGCCTTTATTACAGTGTCATTTGATTTTTACAACCTCCCTGGTAGATTTTCATTTTACATGAAAAACTGAGGCTCAGAAGCACTAGTAAATGGGGGAGTCAGGACTTGAATCCTAGTCCTTAGATTTTCTTAACCCAGTGCTTTTTCTATCATACTACAGTGCAGTACTCTTTCTGTGAAAAGAGAGAAAATTGAAATGAGGTGAAAAATAGATTTTTAAACTATTATGTTCTTTCAAATATAAAAGAAAAGTGCATGGTAAGTTTTAAGTCCACTGGACCTGGATTTGAGTCCTGTTTATGTCACTTACTAGCTGTGAAGCCTTGAGCAAGCTACATAACTGTTAAGCCTCAACTGCCTCATCAGTAATATCAGGAGAAGACTGTTATGAGGATTATAGGTATTATATATAAAGTGTCTAACAGAGGGTCTGGCAAATAATAAGTGCATCATACAACAGGATCAATGTAATTGATATCACTAAATTGTACACCTGAAAAATGCTGAATCAGCAAATGTTGTGTTATATATTTTTACAAAAATTAAACAAGTAGAAAACAACAATAACAAAAAACAACTGCATCATAAGTATTACTGTAAGGCCAGTGGCAAGAAACAGAATAAAAACCATACCAATTTTGGTAGCACTATAGATGTTTTCAATAGGAAATATTTCTCCTAGTCCATATAGGAGAACCTTGGCAAGAGCTGGAACCAGCTGGGTGGTAGTGATCAGAACATTCACGCAATTCTTCCTGGAAGGGAAAAAGGAAAAAAAAAAAAAGGTGAAACCAACCTAACCTGGGAGCAAAAATTCAAAAGGGTCGATTCTCTAGGATCTATCTATTAAAAATCGACCTCAAAAGGCCTGGTATGGTATTTGTTCAGTACCAATGCTCAGTTATTGTTCTAAATAATTCAAGTTTATTTGTTTTCTATATTTAAGGACAGACATTAGACTCTTTTGTGTCTATCATAGCGGGCACAGAGCAGTAACCTGGTTTTGGTCTTACTTCCCTCTGTCCATTCTAGCTCACTGAGCTTGTTAGCACATACCACTAACCCACCTTATTTTAAGAAAACAAACAACAAGCTTTCAGTTACTGTGTTATTTCATCTGAAAGCAATTCAGCCCATAAATGAGATACGATTTAAATCCTCTCTGTTCCTTGTATAACAGTAACATAGATCCCAGAAGACACATTTATTTCATATGTTCTTTAACTTTGCTGGATATCTACCCCTTGGTGTCAGTTTTACTGTCTGTTCTACTAGGTTGTGGACCTGGAATTCCTGCTTTGATGGAGGGGGCAATAAACGTATTGATGCAGATATGACTACACTTATTTCCCATTCTAAACATCACGCTGAAATCTCCCTAATCTGCTTATTGTACCATTTTTCTTTTGAATTCTGCCTTCTAAGTGGGTTTTGGTACATTTCTTAGAACTTCCTATACTTGGGATATTTGTGATGTCTCCTACATGTGTTCTTTGATGTAGCCAGGCCCACTTCCTGGGCTGGTGATTATGGGTTACTGAGTTTTAATTTTGTCAGCAAAAAGTAAGGGGAAAGGAAAAAGGTTTTATACATAAATATTCTTGTAAAACTCTAACGTGTGCTATTAGCATAAAATGACCTTGCCTCTCACCTAACCTAAATACTTTCCTGCATCATCTAAACCACTCTCATCCCTATCCCCAACCCCAGTTTAGGGGATGGACTATCCTGAGTTGGGGTAGGAAAGAGTATATCTTGGAGAGGATGAGATTGAAAAGAATAATTTCCATACCTGGACTGGATGAGAAGTAAGGATTTTAATGCAGTTCCTAACCAGGAATCTGTTAAAACTTCAATTTCTGCTCTTAGTCTCTGCAATGCTTCCTTTCTCTGGGGACTGAGAAGGCCTTTGGGAATAAAAGCAGACAAATTTATTATTTTGACAACATATCCTTGCTGACACGGGGGAAGCAATTTCTAGATTTCAATTTAGAAACGGTGTGAGTCACTGCAATATTCTACTGAGCTAATATATTTCTCTTCCTGGAGAAACCTTAGAGTAGCGCTGCTCAAAACGCCAGTCTGCACCTAGATAAAGGAGCTTGCACCAGAATATAAATCAATGCACGACTTCCTACATCAGCACACTTTGCTGTGGGGCACAACGACAAAAAGTATCAGCTGATGTAAACATGTTATTAGTGACACAGCTGATTTACATTCTGGAGCAAGCTCCTTCTTGCATCACTGACCAGGTAATGTATAATCTGCAGACGAGTGGGCCACATTTTGAGCAGCATTGCTTCAGAACAACACATCAAAGACCAAAGGGTGAGGGAGGGAGATAAACAATGACTGCTATAGCTGGAAGAGTCCTCAGCTAATCCAATCTCTTTCTAAGTAAGCCAAAGCCTAGGGATGAAAGGGAATCTGCCTAAGATTACACAGAAAGTTAGTGGCTTTCCATCTCAGGAGTCTTTCCACTACCACACATTAACTCCGATAGTGACTGCACTTCCACTGATTTCAGAACATGGCAGCCTGGGATTCCAGGTTGAATGACTAATTCTCTGGGTGTCATTTACTTGTACTGTACTTCGTAATGACTCTAGTAGATAAGAGATTAAACACTGCCTAAGACCAAACAAACACAAACAAAACAGAATTCATCTGTTGTCAGACACTTGACTTACAATATTCAAACAATAAATCTGGCTCTGAATTTTCTGCAGTGAAGGTAAAAAGAAAAACCCTGTTTTCTATTATCTATACTCTACAAAAGCAGAAGACATTTCTGTGAGCAGAACTAGGAGTATAATTTGTTCTCAGATGGATGGCTTTACAATGCAAGCCTAGAATTAGGTTTATTTAATATTTCCAATAAAACAACAAGAGTTATATATCATACACTTAACTAATATATGATATGGTACTTTTGTTAATTCATATTTTACAAAACATATAGGTGGAAATTATTTTTAATCTGTTTCTCAAGCGGGCTTAGGGGATTCTCATCGAGGATTACACCACTTTTTTCAGGAAATCAGGTCCAGGTACTGGACAGGGAAGGAACAGAGATCTAGGTTGTATATGAATACTAAGAAAAAAAAAGGCTTATGTCTGTGAGAGCGGAAAAGTATAGACTTGAGTTTATCAGAATAAAAGGTACCAGCTCTGAATCATGAGAAGAAATAAGCCAAGAAAAGGGGACCCAGAGTCTCAAAGCCTGGAAGCCTGTGATTTTTATCTGGTCCTGGAGCGCTGAAACCAGGAATGAACAAAACTAAAGTTCAAAGCATTATTTCTACTTTTCTGCACCACACTACTTTCTGACTGCACAGCTGTGGCATGGTCACTAACTTGCTATGTGACCATGGGTAAGGTACCCCTGCTACCCTGCATTAGACATCAATTTTCTCAACTAAAAATGAGGGATTTAGATTAGATCTCAAATGCCTCTTAGAATTGTAATAACTTATGATTTAAGTAATTAATTCCTAATAATTTAGGTACAGTGGCACATGACATTTGAGATACTTCTGGGCAGAAAGAATTTTCAAGGTCCTTCAAATCACAATACAACCTATAATACTAAACCTAGTTTTCCACCCACTATAAACTTAATCACTAGCCTACCTGACTTGTCCTAATAGTTATATAAATCAGCCAGAAAGTCATGGCACCCTATTAACTGGTACTGACAGTTATAGTAACTCCAGAGTAACCTCATCCAACAGAATGTATAGAACATACTTCCTTTAAACAGGCATTTGTTTCAAAAGAACAAGACAGCTGTACAAAGTTATGCCATCGAGTTGATTCCAACTCATGGCAACCCCATGTGTTTCAGAATAGAACTGTGCTCCATAGAGTTTTCAGTGGCTGTGATCTTTTGGAAGTAGATCGCCAGGCCTTTCTTCCTAGTTGCCTCTGGGTGGATCCAAACCGCCAGCCTTTTAGTTAGTAGCCGAACACTTAACCTCGTGTACCACCCAGGAACTCCTATGTTAAGAGAAGCCCGTGAAAAATGCAAGGCTTTCTTCCCAAAGATTTTGATTAAACCTCGTGTTTTTATACAGAGTTAAAACGTTAGTATGGCAAAAACTCATGAGCAGTTGCCAGGGGGATCTAAGGAATCCCTGGAAAAGAACACAGGAAATCAGAAAGAAAAAGAATTAGACTGGTCGTATGCTACACTTACCACCCACGTTGCTTTTATGCTTATCATAGATTTCTCTCACTTTTCGGTAGCGGAAAGCCAGTTTCCTCATCCAGTCCACACCTCCCTGGACACCTACTGAAGAACCATGGCTGCCACTGCCTCCTGAGCCACTGAAACCATCTGTTGAGAAACTGTAGTTGCTGCAAAGAGAAAGGATGATAAAAATTAAAGCCTATACTGCATGGAGTTTTTGGCTGAGTGCCACCTAGGATTCTGTTCTATTCCTGGCACATGACCGTCAGGGCTAACAGCTTTGAGAATCTTCTCCCTTAATCTCTGTGTGTCAGAGCCCATCTTTCGTTAGTCCTCTATCTCCTGCTTATTACTTCTATCACAGAAAGAACTGGGAGAGAGAGAAAGAGAGGAAAGAACAATTCAAGCACCAGCATCTCTTAGATGCTGGCTTAGGATAGAGCATCTTTTTTATTAATGGTAGTGAAAAAAACTGAATACAAAATTTCATGTACATACACATATACCCAAAATGCTAATAACAGTAAGATTATGGGGGATGTTTTTCTTCAGTTTATTAAGTTCATGGGTCACTGTGGTACTCCGCTCTCCTAATTCTGCTCCCCTTGGGTATGGACTGTACTTGGTGACTCTAAGAAATAAAATGCACTGGAAATACTGATGTGACTTTACAGACTAGCCATCTCTTGCTTTCTCTCTTTCAGCACTTGCTCTGGAAGAAGTCATGTGGTAAGAACACTCAAGCTGTCCCACAGAGTGGCCCATGTAGAGAGAAACTGAGGCCTTCTGCCATAAGAGAGTATAAGCAGGTCCTCTAGCTCCAGTCAAGCCTTCAGATGATTATATCCCAGCCAACATCTTGACTGCAACCTCAGAGATCCTGATTCAGAACTATCTAGCTAAGCTGCTCTCAAATTCCTGACCCACACTAAGTGTGAGATAATAAATGTTTGATGTTTTAAGTTACTAAGTTTTGGGGTAATATGTTATATAGTAATAGGTAACTATTACATTCACAAAGGCTGGGAGGGATTAACAGTTCATAAGCAAAGATTTTAAAACAGCTGACAGAATTAGAGACAACTCAGTTCAATCAAAAGTCAAAATATTGTTCAACGGGTAAAGTGTGAGATTCTATACTTAAGAAAATAAAGCTGCCAAGAGATAAGACACTTGTGGTTAATCACAAGTAGAATAGAAAAAAAAATCTGGGGTTGAGTTGATCATAAACTGCTTTAGACCAGGCTTTTACTAAAAAGTCTCTATAAAAATGGTGCCCTCCCTGGCTGTGCAATGCCCAGCCTGTACTACTGTACGCTGCTCTTGAAAGCGAAACCTTTCACTCTTCTCAGCACTAAATGATTACCACATCAGTTACTGTCAAGTCAATTTTGATTCATGGCGACCTGTGCTCCTCAGGGTTTTTAATGGCTGATTTTTTTGGAAGTAGATCACTAGGCCTTTCTTCCGAGGCATCTCTGGGTGGACTCGAACCTCCATCCCTTCATTTAGCAGCTGAGTGCATTAACTGTTTGCACCACCAAGGGACTCAACTAAATTATTAGGCCCTTACAAAAGTGATACGAACAGTTCTGCTCTGCATTTAAAAATTCATGGATGGGGTACTTAAGGAAACAACAGTGTCTCCAGGAGACCTGCATAAGAAATTTAAAGCTAACAGAAAATTTTTAGCATAGAGAAGAGACTTCGTAATAAATCTAAAAAGTCTTAAATTATAAAGAAAGCTACAGAATTAAACTTTATCCATTTCAATTCAATATCAAAGATGAAGAATGGGGTTGAAACAGCAGCAGGAAAATTCTGGGGTAAACACAAGGAAGAACTTCTTTACCTATGAAAAGGGATAAACATTAGAATAAACTAATATGAAAAGATGTGACAGTCTTTTTCCTAAAAATCTTTAAAAATAAGCTACATAAATTTTTGGATCATTCTTAGCTAAGACTACTGGGCCAGAAGATAGTAGCAGACTGAGCTAGCATTTTGCCAATGAGGCCTCCTTGGTTTAGCTTTCACTGTGATAATATAGTAATGTTTATGATCGTCTTCCATGGGGTTACTCTGTCACCATCAAACCCCCATAGTTAGTTTCCTTGGTGAAATTCCTACGCTTATTTGCATCCAAAATGGCCCATCTGGAAATACATTTTCTCCTGACTGAAAATCTAATCACCTGGCCAAAGAGAAACTAGTATATCCCTTACTTTGGGATGCTTTTTCCTTATCCCACCACTACTGCCCATCCTTCAAGGTCCTGCTCAAATGCTACTCCACTGAAAAGGCCTCTCTGCTGTTGGCACCCCCTGCTTACCACCCCCGTTAGAATTACTCTCTTCTCTGTGCTACCGTCGCATTTTCTACTGTCACCTTCTCACACTGTATGTTGTGGTTAACTGTATTTGTTTCTGCCTCCTCGAATAGATGACGGGCTCTTTAAAGGCTATATTCATCTCTGTTTCCTCTGTACCTAGACACGTGTCTTGCATATAACAGGTGTACTGATGTTCAAGATATCATTGTTTTTATCACCTCAAGTCTTGGCCATTGTCATCAGAAGCCACATCTTCCACATGTACCTGGTCACACTCCTGTTAAAAGACAAAACACACTTTTTCAGTCCAGGGAGTAGAGGTGCCATTACCATCATGACATTTTGTAAAAAGACCACATAAAATCACAGGATGATGAAATACCTTGTGGCCTCTTTTACGTGTGGAGGATCACTCTCACCCCCCTTGCTGTCCAACTTCTTTTAAGGCCTGATTCAGGTCCTACACTCTTCCTTAACCATCCCAACTTTCAGTTATGCTCTTATCTCAACAGTTCATTTTGCCAGCAGCTCACGGATATAAGTGTAAGCTCCCTTACACTATCAGGTGTGTCTACGTCTTATATTAGACTGTAAGTCCTTTTAAACTGTATGCCTCTTGGGGCAGCACCCATATCTTACATCTCCTTTGTACTCCCCTAGTCTAGTCAGACAGACTACATCAGAAGACAGACTCTGGAGCAGTGTGGTTTCAACAGTGAGAATGACTGTAACAGTAATTTATAAATTCAAACTTAGGAGTTAGAAGAGATCATCTAAGTCAGTCTCCTCATGTTCTAAAAACAAGGGGAAATGATTTATCAAATGTCATAAGCAAGTGAGTGGCAGAAAGAGACTAGAAAGAGCTTAGGTCTTCTGATTCTAATCCAAGGCTCTTTCAACCAAGCCCATGCTACTAACATAAAATGCCACCCATGGCCTAACTCTGACAGATTCACTCTTCTGACACCACTTAGGGCAGTGTTTTTCAAAGTGAGGTCCACCTGCATCAGAATCCTCTGGGGCAGTTTTTTTAAAAATGCACACTCTTGGGTTCACTCCAAACCTACTTGAATCAGAATTTCTGGGAGTGAAGTCCTAGAATTTACACATTAAAAAAACATGCTCCTCAGGTGATTCTTATGCGCCCTAGAGTTGAGAACCACTGACCTGGGGGGCAGGAACACATTCAGGTCAAATTCTTCACAGAACTTTCAGTCCTGAGTGAGGACTATGTCTAGAAAATCATTACAAATACAATTTGGCAATAATTATTGGCACACAGTAGGTTTTCAATAAATGTATGCTGAATAAAAATTATGATGTCCTAACTTATAAACATGTGAAGTCAAGGGAAAATTAAAGCATTGTGGTAGCTTAGATAAAAGTACTGGAGTTTAGAGATTTATTACTTCGATTTGTTGGAGGAGTGCATGTTGAGTAGAACTAGATTATATTTAAAAAGAAACAGGATTACTTTCTTGCTTGTAAAACACTGTTTTATTTTACTTTTAAATTTTCACTTTTTAAAAACTAGGTAATATATGTAGTACACAGTTCAAATTCAAAAGGATACAAAGTGAAAAGTCTGCTCCCTCCTACCTCTGTGTCCCAGCCATTCAGATCCCCTCCCAAGATATGGGAACTGTTACTAGTTTCTTGTGAAGGGTAACTTCTTAACTGAGGCTCACAGTAGGGAAATAACTTTCCGAGCTGTGACTCACACTCTGGTGTCCTGATTCCCAGTCTTGTGCTCTGTCCACTACATCATGTTCACCTCCAAGGTGAACTCAAATATCAAAGCCAAATACAGTCACCATGAAGCTCTTAAGTGTTTCCTGATTTTCGTTGCATCTAACTATGAAATGATTCTGGGCATCAGGGTTACCTATACATGGACAAAATGTTCTCCATTTACAGATCTGACAAATCAAGAGACTGTCTTATAAGAAGGTAAAATTGAAGAAGAGTCAAAATACAACTGAGATTACAATCAAACCTACTTTATACACATACACACACACACACCCACACCCACACACACATTATTTAATACAGATTAATAAATTGGCTTATATATCAGTGTTTCACTAGACTGATCAGCATTTCCCTGGAGCTAGATCACTTCCAAATAGGCTAACAAAAATTAAAATTTTGAGCAATAAAAATGGAGGGCTAGAGCCAAGACTGTGGTGACCCAACCAAAGCACTAGTAATTCTGCAAGACTATGTGTTCCTAAGTGGCCAGCTGGCTTCCCCATACCCACCCTTTCTAACCATGTATTTTCTAAACACAATAAGCACAGACCCCAAAAATGGTTATTGAACAAAACATCTCATGGAAACACAGAAACAATTTAAAATGCTCACCTCTAAGTCATTGAAAAATAGATGTGTATCAGCCACTTCAAAAATCATTTCTTCCATTGTTAAACCTGAGCCAATCACTACTGTTGGGTCCTAGAAATCAGTAAGACAAAAATTTGCTTGACTTGGTACTCACAGCACTGCTTCTGATCTTCAAATATTTTGAAATTATATTGGGATAAGGCCACTACAGCACATGCCCATAACAGTGACTCAAGCTATTACTGATGTAATTTCATTTACAGTCACAAGAACCTGGGATTGTACAACAGAGAGGATTATGGACAGTTAAAATTTCCAGGATGTTAGTTTCTAGAAACTTGTAGTGACGAGGTCAATAGTATATAAGTAAATGGGACAAAGAAGAGATGTTAAAAAATCAAGTCATTGCTTTAGTCAAAAATTGTATTCATCATTTCCCTTTAGTGTCTTTCTCTCACTTAAAAAACAAAAACAAAATCCATCTATTTTTTTGAAAATACCCTCTTCCAGTAGAAATTCTATTAATTGCTAAAATATTGCTTGTAATGTCCATTATCTCCCCTGTACACACACGCACACACACACATGCATATACAGAGTATAACAACAAAAGTCACTTATCTGATAACCTCAACAATCAGGAAGTAAGTAAAGAAAGGCTGAAGAGTCAAAATATTTGCAGGAAAACCAATGCACTTTGTTTTAAAATGAACCATTAGACCTTCACTTAGATGCTGTATGCTCTTATTTTATATACTATTATAACCAGCTTAGTCAGATAGCTCATGTCAGTTTTCCAGCCTAGATATCAAAAGCCTGCACAAAGTACGTTTAACAGAACCAAGTATACGTAATGACAATACGAAGTAACTGAGAGTAGTACGAGGTAGGTATTTTTTGTAAAATTTACTCATGGAAACTGGAAAATAAGAGACTGGAGGTAATTTAGGTAGAAATACACAGGCTTAATTCTCTCAAAACAGCTCAGCACTTTATTAAAACTGATGTTTATACTGAAGATTAAACAAGTTGAATACTGTTTGGTATATTTAGTTTAAAAAATAAGGAAAGTACATAATATATTTTAGAAAGATATTTTATCTTTTATGCATATATTTTGTTTATATATCTCTCGTATATACTTAGCTAAATGAAATGCCTGGGTTGGGCAGTTAAGAATGACTTAAGGGATAACAGATCAATATTGTTTGGAATAATGCAATATACAACCTTCTGTTCTGCTCTGAGCCCCATTCCTAAATTTAATCTTTACAAAACGCCATTCCTGAACCTGCTTCTGCTTTCAGGACTGGTCCTGGGCCTAGTCTCTAGCTTTACCACCAACCCTGCTTGACCACATGGTCTGCCTGGTACAAGCCATCTGGTGAAATTTTCCATGGAAAGTGAAAAGCCAACAGGAGTGAGGTAGAGGTAGCAGAGAAATGATTTTGGTTACTTGCCCGCCCATGTAGTCAGAAGGAAGGTAGTTACGACAAAGGAAGAAAGGCCCAAATTACCTTGCCATACTTCTGGGCATAGGATCCAGTAAGGAGGGAGTGGAAGATGATGATGGTTTCATCTAAGTCCCACAGAAAAACCCGCTGAGGGAGGAAAGTATAAAAGATAATGAGTGCTTAGTTTTCCCCAAGAAATATATCAGAACTTTAGCTTTTCTTTTTCTTTTTCCATAGGGGAAGAGAGACTCCAAACACAGCCTCAATGTACCTATGTCTTTGGAACACCTATCAACAGACTCATTTTTAAATACAGCTTTTCTCCTTATTAAATGACCACATTACAAAAAATTGAAAACAGAAAACAAAAGGATAACATAAAAACTCCACCATTATTAACATTTTTTTGTATCACTTTCTAGTCTTTCTAAGTAACGAACCCAATTTGTATGTCCATGAAAATTCCTATAGTGCTTACACCACAGAATAAGTGAGTGCCAACCTCATTAATAAATTACTAAATCTGGTTGCACGTCTCATAGAAACATGGCCTAAAGCAATCTAACTTTACTTTGAGATTTTTAAATGGAGAACAGCATGAAATGACTTGTGACACCCTCTGCTTTCTGAATATGATGCATGTTCTCTCTCTTCTCCTCTGGAATATAGAGAATGGTTTGTTTTTCCCCTTAAAAAGTTACCTGGCTACTACCTAAATTCCACAAAGCTTTTTCGATGCTTTTGCTGAAAAGTATCTGAAAGGGATATGGTGAGTTATAGACATGGAGAAATGTGTTTTTACATTTCTATTTGCACTTGGTCAATTTAATTTCTCTTGCTCAGGAATTAAAGGGCACACAACACAGAACCACACTACTTTTGTTAGTTTCAGACTTTTTTTTATATGTTTATAAAAAAGTTTACATGTTTGATACAGTTAAGAAATAAAAAAAGAAGTAGTAACTCAAATGAGTTACTTCCCATACTTCCAATTCACTGTCCTGGGAAGAGCTAGTGTCAGCTTTCCTCTTGCCCCGGTTCTTGCCTGTCATGTTTTTCCTAGACTGGTCATCAGCATCTTTACTTGGTGTAGTCTGGGACAAAGATGGGCTTGTAGAAGGGTCTCCTAGAAAGGAAAAGTGAGACATATATTGCCAGTGGCCACAGGGTAAAAGAACCAGAGCAGGAAGAGGGTCAGCAGGTTCTCTACTCTAAAGAGACACACTGCAGGGATAAAGGGTGGAAAACTCTACTTGAACAATGTGGGAATGTGGACCTAGGCACTGAGTATCAACAGCTGCTAACCACAAAGAAAGTGACGACTGGGCATTATACACCTGCCTCCTGGTGGAAAAACACAACATCTATGAAGTAGTTTTGGGGGGAAAAAAAAATGAACTTAAATCTCATTAAGCCCCTAGATTAGAGTTTTCAATTTGGCACTACTGACATTTTGGGTCAGATGTTTTCTTGTGCGGAGATGTTGTGTGCATTGTAAGATGTTTAGCAGCTTCTTCAGCCTCTGCCCACTAGAAACCAGTAGCACTCCCACACCCACTATGACAACCAAAAATGTCTCCAGACATTGCCAACTGTCACAGGGGGATGGGGAGGCAATCGTTCCCAGTTGAGAACCACTACTCTAGATCCATTTACAAATTTACAATAAAATACTGAAGGTAACAGAACATGTTAAACTACTCTAATAAAGATATAATCTGCAAAATTCAGTCTAGGACATGGTACTACATAAAAAATCCAGTTTTTTCAACATATAAATTCCTAGGGGGAAGAAAAGAGATAGGGGAATTTATAGGTTAAAGAGATATAAAATACATATCCACCAATCACAATGCATGAACCTTATTTGGATCCTAATTTAAACAAACTGTAAAAAGAAAAACAAAACTCATTTATAACATATATAAGTAAATTGGAAATCTGAACACCTATTGAATATTTGCTGATATTAAGAAATTTTTGTTTAAAATTTTTTAGATATGATAATGGCATGTGGTTATATTAATAACTACTTATCTTTTACAGATATGATGCCTGGAATTTTCTTCAAAATAATATGAAAGGGAAGAATTGGATGAAGTATAATTGAAACAGGATTGCCTATGAAGGTGTTGACACCAGATGATGGGTACACAGTGGTTCATTATGCTATTCTGACAACTTTTATTTATATGTTTGAAATTTTTATAATTAAAAAGTCAGAACTGTTATAAAGAACAAAGATACTTAGAGAATTGAAATAAAAACTAAGACATCATCACATGTAATTACTTCAAAGTTACAGAATTTTGAGGCAGGGATCACCTGTATGTCCATTTACCTAGAAGGCTGGTAAGGGCAAGATGCAAAGAAAATTGTGTTAGATGATGTAGAGCACTGTTTTAAAAAATGTATCAATGCTAATGATAAACACGGTTTTCCTCAAGTTACACAACGTATGATGATTAATCACCAAATTTTTATTACAAATAAACATAGAAATGAATAAAAGTATGTGTATATATTTACTGAATGTGTATATAAAGCCTTTATTTCAGGGTTTTTTAACCCAGGCGTCATAATTCATTGATACAATTCAGAGCTGTGAATCTGCTGAAATGGTAGGTTAAATTTTCTTTCTTTGGAGGAGAAGGACCATAGTGTTCCTCAGAATTTTAAAGGGATCCATGACCCAGAAAAAGTTAAGAACTACTGCTTTAGGCCTCAGCAGAAGTCTGAAAAATGAACAGACTAAAACGGGTGTCCTCCAACTTGTATAAAGTTGGCGTCCTCCAACTTGCATAAAATGTGCCAAGATTCTGAAGCTCCCTGTGACAAGCATGTTACAGCTACAGGTGGTGAAGCAGTGAAGATGGGGCAGGAGTCATAAGAACAGTCTTTTCATTCTTGGTACTTTACTGTTCACAGCATCAGGTATTACATTCAGTCTATAATCTCCTGCCAGGAAGTCATCACAGTCTGGTTCCAATGTTTAAATATTCCCCACCTGAGAGCAAAAGCCACGGGCATGGTAAAGTGACTCTGCCCAGAATAAAATAATCTTCACCATCATCTAAAACTGCCTGTTGGACTAAGTGCCCTTAAGCTAAAGTTTTCAGAGCTGTGGTGCTTACCAGAGGAAAGTCTCTGTGCTGCAGGTACCATGACAGCAGGCTTCTCTGTTTGGTATGTGGTTGCGGCTAACGTGGTGCTCTCAGTGTCACTGTTAGTCTGGCCTGTGACTCCAAAGCTAGAGCTGGGGTAGCATGCCTGGTACTGACTCTGACCAAGGATAGTATAAGTGGGATAGTCCTGTAGAACAAAAGGAATAAGGGAAGAAAACAATATTCTCAGAAAGAGTATAACATTAATTTCACCATGAGAAAGCGTTCATATCTCTCTTATTCATAGCTATTTTCCTAAAACATTCATTTGACATCTTTATTTACCCATTTAGCAGTCTTCTAACTAAATCAATGATCTCAAAATGCACTCTGTGGAACCCTAAGTTCAGGAGCTGACTCTGAGGTTAGGGGGAGGCTGAGAGGGAAGAGTCCCATGCTCTCCACATACAATGTCCATTTTTCTAACACACCAGCTCATTTTTGGGTTGATTTTACGTACTGAATTTCTGTACAATTTCTGCATAGAATCTTTGAAGAGACTGGGGAAGAAGAACCATAGTGTTCCTCAGAATTTTAAAGGGATCCATGACCCAAAAAAGTTAAGAATCACTGCTCTTAGGCCTCAGCAGAAGTCTGAAATATGCACAGACTAAAACTGGCATCCTCCAACTTGTATAAAATGTGCCAAGATTCTAAGGCTTTGAAAAGATTCTATTCTTTAAAAAAAAGTTTACAAGCCACTGTACTAGATGGTAATGTTTCTAAGGACAGATGAGCTTAAACAAAAAAAGTACATATCCTACAGTAAAGTTTCCTAGTTTAAAAACTGGTTATCTTTCTTTTTTAACAATCAAGTTTTCTTTAAAAATGAAAACCTGTTTCTTTAAAACACTGGGAGGAAACTTTTGGTGGTTTCACAGGCACATACTTATCAAACTGTACAATTTAAATATGTGCAGTTTATTATGTGTCAACTATACCTTAAGAGAACTGTTAAAAAAAAATGGGTATGACACAGAGCTCAAGTATACACTTTAAAAAAATTCCACTGACATGGATGTTGGTGACAATTAGGAAGAAGTTAACTGATCAGACAATTATCTATAAATAGTTACTGAGCATCTACCATAAGCCATATTTAATTCACAGTGTATATGTATATTTGTGCATGGCAGGAGAAGAGAATATTAAAGAAAAGAATAAATCACACTAGCTGAACTCAAAGAATTAAAAATCTAGCAGGAAAGAAGACAAAAAATTCCAACAACATGATAGTAAATTAAATATTAAATAAGTGCGATACGGGGGAAAAAGACATTCTGTGCGAAGGGGTGGTCAGACAGCTTTCAGAGATCAATAGGTAGAAGAGGTTAAGAACATGATAGGCCTTGAAACAGTTTCACTAAAGGGCAAAAGTTTTATTAAGGGGCCTGAGATGTTGAGTAAGCTGAAAAGAGGATCTCTGTGGGTCTGAATGAATATTAATTGGACTCTTTACACTAGGCAACAGTGCATAGCTTGTGTAGGAGCAGGGAAATGAGGGCTATCAAGTTCAAACGAACAAATAAAAACATGAAAAGATTCTGAACAGGTGAGTGCCATCTGGAAAAAATTAATCAGACGGGTTTTAGAAAATGGACAGGCACAGTGAAAAACTGGAGATGAGACGAACCATTAACCATGGTAATTTAGGAGTAAAGGAGGAGTAAAGCTTAGGAAATGATAGCAAAAATAAAAGGAAGGGTGTAGAAAAAACAGGAAGATGACTGGTCAGGTTTTAAGCCTAGGTTTATTAAGAAAAAATAGTGTCATTGATTTTTGGAGGGCAAGGAGACAGAAAAAGGGTGAAATGAAAGGCTATTTTAGATGTGCTGAATTTAGGGAAACAGCAGGACACTGAACAAAATATGTCCACCAATCAGTTGGTATCTTGTAGATTTTATGAGATCAGGACTATAGTCTTCAGTTTGGAAATAGTAGGTGGACATTATGAGTGTGGATAAACACTCCTGAGGACAAAATAATTAAATATGTTGAAAAACTAAATAGAGACCACCAATGTTAGAAGACAGGATTCGAAACAAGAGCTATGAAAGTGAGAGATAGAGACAGTCCCCAGAAGAGTGCCAGGTACACACTAGGTACTCAATAAACATTTGTGGACTAAAAGAATAAACAAATGCAAGAACAGTCAAACACACAAAAAAAATTAACCAGAATAGTAATGTTAACTGTGGCCAGAAAAAAAAAAAAAAGATCATGGAGAGAGTGGCTGACAATATTAACTGCTGCAGAGAAAAGAGGAATAAATATAAAACAAAACCAAAAAATCGTAAAACACTAAAGATATTACCAGTGATCTTCTAAGCATAAAGAGTGAGAAGGGCAATCAAGACCAGACCACAAAGTACTCACAAAGGAATAGGTGGTTTAAAAAAATAAACATGGAGGTAATATTCACTCATTTCACAAATATTTATTGAATGCCTTTAATTTTAATGTGAGTGCCAGACATCTTACTAGGCTCTGGGGTATATAAGGGAACAAAATAGGAAAAAAATCTCTACCCTCATGGAACCTGCATTCCAGTGAGAGAGGGGTAGGAGGTGGAGACAAACACAGTAGACAAACAAATAGAAAAACCACAGCATAAAGAGGTCTGCGTGACAGCCTGAGAAGCCATCCAGGTTCCCAGTTCTGAAGGCATCCAGGAGAAGGTCTCCTGGTTGTTTCTTAGATGGGCAAATTAGCCATGGAAAGGAGAGAGGAAGAACAAGCTAGATGATCCGTATCAAACGGGATTAACAAAAGTAGCACTATACCTGGTTTGAGATGCTAGCAACTGCTGCTGTTGGAATATTGGCAATTGTAGATGAAGTGGATATCAGGCTGGCATTTGTGCTTGAAGCTACAGGATTGAGAATGTTAGAAGATATTAGTTACCATGTTTAAAAATGCTAGAAGACATTGAGAATATATTGTACCTTAAGAGGATAGTTCTAAAAGGAGATAAATGACATTAGCAAAGAAAACATAAATACAGGTTTTGTTTTGCATGCCATTCCTCAATTCATACTTGATTAGAAACAAAACACTTCAAATATTTCCATTTCAACTGCATCTTCAACTCTATTTATAAAGTCCAAAAAGGATACATATACAATACACTGGTTCATACTACGGATACCAACGAAATCAAAAGCTAAACCAAATCACTACAGTCCATTTTTTCTAGCAGTTGAAAAACGACTCACCTGCTATATGACCTACTGCCAATCACAGCAGAAACGAGAAAATCCACTTGCAAATTCTATACTGTGATACTGTTTATTGTCACTAGCCCCATATTACAGGCCTTTCCTGATGCGACATAATTACTTTGAGGAAACAGACCTGGTCTTCCAAATTCTAAAGTGCTTAGAATTGCTTCTTAGGCTTTACTTGAATTAATGGATTATTAATGTGGATCAGCAACCACAATGATCTGGCATTTAGAGATTTATCAGTGAGGTTGGACGAAAACAGAAAATATTAAATATTATTTTAGACAGGTAAAAATGCACTTTTTAAGCTACTTGGGCTGCCTATCTTAAGACAAAATAGTAAAGTAGTAAACACGTTTTTCATATCCTTCTATCAGATTCCACTAGGATTTTAGGGAACAACGAAGGAAAAATAAAATAAAGCCTCTGTGACCAATATTTGCCAAAGTGACTTTTTTCATGTAGACAGTGCATTTGAGATCTGAAGTAATGTCTTGCTCCTCTTCCTGACTTATCATAAGCACACTTAGCCATGGTTCCTACAGCAGTCACACACACATAAGGGTTCGCCATCAGGATCCAGCTTAAGACTAGTAACTACTCAGACTCGAATGACTACCCACCCCATTAGCAACAAAGTCCTCTAGGGGAAAGTTAACAGGAAAATTTCCATTAGGAACAGGGAAGGCCCAGAGCAATTAGGCTAGAAATAAAAGGTATCCAAATTGAGATGAAGAAGTAAAACTATCCCTTTTCACAGGTGACATGATCCTATACGTCGAAAACCCGAAAGAATCCAAAAAAAACTATTAGAACTAATAAATGAATTCAGCAAAGCGGCAGTGTACAAAGTCAACACAAAAAATCAGCTGGGTTTCTATGTATCATCAATGAGCAAGCAGAAAAGGAAATTAAGGAAACATTACCACTTACAATAGCATCTAAAACGATAAAGTACCTAGGAATAAATTAAACCAAGAAGGTGAAAGACTTGTACAAAGAAAACTAGGAATAAATTCAACCAAGAAGGTGAAAGACTTGTACAAAGAAAACTATAGAACATTAGTAAAAGAAATTAAAAACGACTTAAAGAAATGGAAGGACATTCCGTGTTCGTGGATTGGAAGAATTAATATAGTTAAGATGTCAATATTACCCAAAGCAATCTCGTAAGTCAATGCAATCCCCATCAAAATTCCAACAGTCTTCTTTTCAGAAATAGAAAAGCCAGTTCTCAAATTTGTAAGTTCATACATCTGTGGTCAACTGATTTTTCACAAGGGGGCTAAACTCACTTAATAGGGAAGAGAGTCTCTTCAATAAATAGTGCTGGGAAAACTGCATTTTTACATGCAGAAGAATGACTTGATTAGCTAGCTGTTGATACTGTCTGAGTTTTTGGACAAGTATACTACTAAAATCTGCAAATTTCTCTCAGTAATGGCTTTTATTATAGGGGATCTTGGCCTGCTGACTTAGGAAGTTTATAGAGCTCAGTAACATGTCCTTCTCCAACTCAAACAAATCATTTCTAATGTATGTCCTTTATTTATTTTACTATGTGCCCAGAATCTCTTCCAGCCACTGAGGGATAAAGTAGTAAATTAGACAAAGTCCACGCATGTCCTCATGGAGTTTAAATTCTGTTGAGGGAAGCAGACAATAATTAAATAAATAATACTTGCTTAGGCTTTTGTAACCATCATTGAACCCAAGATAAATTCGCCTACAAATGTACACAACCACTGCATGCCCTACCCCACATATAGCTATGATTAAAAAGCTAGGCACCTGGCTACCATTACTGAACATTTTGATCAAGGACTCAATAGATGAAAGGGGGAAAAATGTGGAACAGAATTCAAATTCTAATGGAATCCAGACTTACTGGATCCACTGAGACTAGAGGAACCCCCAAATTTAATGCCCTGAGAAAATCCTTAAACCTTGAACTGAAACTATTCCCTGAAGTCATATTTTAACTAAGCAACAGTTTAGGTAAATTAATAAAGTACGTTCACTCTGAGCTCTATTAAATAATTATCTATTCATATAGAAATCAACAACAGTAACTCTAAAGCACAGATGAGAAGTTTAGGGGGTAGTAAATCTAAGTCAATGGTGGTGAAACAATATGAGTAGAGACAGAGAGAATGATGACCCAACATGGAGAATGTAAGCAATGTACCTGAAATTGTACATGAAGAAATTGTTGAATGGATATATGTTCTGCTGTGTATATTTTCACCCCCCAACCAAAAAAATCCAGGCACCTCATAAAAATGTACTGATCATACTGCATATTAATTAAGCAATGCTCAACCGCAAGTTTAAAAAATAAGTCGTTAACAAAGAAATATGCAAAAAAAGTAAAAGTTTGGACAATCATATATAATTCAAGTTGTAGCTCCTACTGTAATACATCTAATAGCTGTCAGCTCTCCAAATGCCAGTGGCATGGCCAACTGTTTTTGTTCCTGCCTTGACAATGCTGTCAAATCCTGCTGTCAAATCACTGAAAGCTGAAGCTTCTGAGAACCATGACCCACTGGAAGTTCACCGAATACGGTCCTATACACGCAGAAATAGTTTTGGTCCAAAGGCCATCGTTATAGAATGGTGACAGAGACACAGTTGAATTAAGGGTTAATGGCACATAAAAGTTTGTACAAGATTAGTTTCTACCTACCTCTTCTTTTCATATCACACCACCACACCACCCTTGCCTTCTCTGAGTTACTCAAATTAAGACAAGGTCTTTCTTACTTGAGAACCTTTGCAATGTTGTTCTCTCTGCCTGGACTGCTGTAGCTGCTCCACTCCTTCACCTTCCCAGCATGGATGGCTCCTTGTCAGCAGGTCCCACCTCCTCAGAGAGGCCCTCTTCAATTCCTCTATTAAAAGTAAGTCCTTTCTTGTATTCTCGATCACAGAAATCTATTTGTTTCTTTCAGAGTACTTTTCAAAATTTGTTATTTACTTGCTTGTTTTTTATCTCTCCCACTAGGCTGTAGTCACCATGAGGTCTGAATATTACTATACTGTTCACCATCTCCAGCATCTAGCATAGTGCCTAGAATATAGTAGGTGATACTCAATAAACACTTGTGAGATTCATGCACTAGGTGTGAAGGGCAAAATCATTATTTTCTGCTAGATCGGGAATTAACTAGATGGTGGCTGCTGGGTGGGTTCCTAAAATTTACTCTCAGTATGTGGCCAATGTAACTGAAAAAAAAAAAAACTCGTTCAGTTACTGATCATTTGAGACTCAACAGAAATTGTGCATATTTTGGTTAAAACTGATTACCTAAGTGGGCCATTCATTCATTAACTCATTTATTTATCAAATACCTACTGAATGCCTACTATGTACCAAGTACTGTTCCATGTGCTTGGATTACACCAATGAACAAGGACAGAAACTTCCCCTCGAGGAGCTTAGTAAAATCAAAGCAGTAAATGAGGTTGTCTGATAGTCCTGTTTAAAATCTCCTACTCAAAACTTCTCACTATCAGAGTGGAAGTTTACAGATCAGCAAGGGTAGGAGGCTAGAATGCTCCATGTGGTGATGGATTAGAGCTGGAAACATCAGTAAGAACTCATATTTAACTTAATACAGATAGAGTCACATACAGAAATATCCACAGATATGTGTATATACACAGACTAATGTACACATATATATTTCTTTGCTCTGTCAGCTTAGAGGGCCTAAAAGAAATGACACCCTAGTAGCAATGAAACCAGATCTTGGTTTTCTAATACTATTCGCCAATAAAATTCTCCATTGGAGAAACGGCTGTTTATAGGATGGGACAGGATATATATAAGATGAGCCTGGAACATCTTGTAGTGCCAGAAAGAAGTGTCTAAAAACAAACAAACAAAAAACCCCACATTGATGGGGAGGTATGTCAAAAGGGACATAGGAGCCAACTGAAAGAGATCCCAATGGTCCAAGCTGGAACAATTTGAGTAACAAAATAAATACTTTGGATTATAACCTAAAGTGTAAAATAAGTATCTACGAGTCCATGCTGATATACATAAATGAATAAATTAATAAATGGGGGGAGAAGAGCTCTTGTGCAGAAGAATTCAAAATGATTACGTAGATACTCTACCCTAAACGGAAGGAGCCCTGTTGACTCAGTGGTTAAGCGCTTGGCTGCTAACTGAAAGGTCGGTGGTTTGAACCCATCAGCTGCTCTGTGAGAGTGTAAGATGCGGCAGTCTGCTTCTGTAAAGGTTACAACCTTGGAAAGCCTATGGGGCAGTTCTACTGTGTCCTATAGGGTTGCTATGAGTCAGAATTGACTCCATGGCAACGGGTTTGGTTCTACCCTAGAGAACTAGGAGTGTAATACTTAAGTGTGGGCTTTGCATAGTGACTTCCATCCAAAGAACATGGAAAGGGGGAAAAATAAGAGGACCTTTACAGTGAAGAAAACTGACAAGTGCTGCTTCAGCCAGGTGATCAAGGTCAACATTAAAGGGAATAAATCATGTGGATAGTATATACCCTCGATATGATGTAATGAAAAAGACGTTTTAACTCTGTGATCTTCCTCCCCAAAATCCACAATCCCAGTCTAAATCATGAGAAAAACATCATATGAATTCCAATAGAGGGACATCTTACAATATACCTGATCTGTATTCCTTAAAATTGTCTAGGTCATCAAAAACAAGGGAAGTCTGAGGAACTGCACAGTCAAGAGGAGCTTAAACAGATGAGACCCATAACCAAACCAAACCCATGCCATTGAGTCAATTCCGACTCACAGCGACCCTACAGGAGAAAGTAGAACCACCCCATAGGATTTCTAAGGAGTGGCTGGTGGATTTGAACTGCTGACCTTTTGGTTAGCAGCTGAACTCTTAACCACTGTGCCACCAGGGCAATGCGGTCTCCTGGGTGGGTCTCTAGAAAAGAAAAAGGATTATCGGTAGAAACTAAGGACATATGAATAAACTATGGATTCTGTTAATAATGCTGTTGTTGTTAGTTGCCATCGAGTCGGCTCCCAACTCGTGGTGACCCCATGACAATGGGATCAGACCACTGTGAACCACAGGGTTTTCACTGGCTGATTTTTTGGAACTAGAACACCAGGCCATTCTTCCTAGTCTGTCTTTGTCTGGAAGCTCCACTGAAGTCTGTTCACCCATCACAGCAACATGCAAGCCTCCACTGACAGACGGGTGGTGGCTTCACTTGAGATGCACTGGCCAAGAATCGAATTCACATCTCCTGTATGAAAGGTGAACACTCTACCACTGAACCACCACTGCCCGTTTTGTTAGTAATAATGTACCACTACTGGCTCATTAATTGTACCATACTAATGAAAGATGTTAACAGGGGAAACTGGCTGTATGCTCAAATTTTCTGTAAATCTAACCTATTCTAAAAATAAAAGTCTACTAATAAAAAAAAAAAATCTCCCAGTCAAAGAAAGACAATTATGTGTTACTAATACTATTCAAGACTAAAGACTCATTAAAATTCAAGACTGAGTTAAATTTTAGAATTTCTGCAATTAATTTTGCCATATGAATATTATTTAATCATTCAAATCACCTCAACTGAAGATGACCAGAGACAGGACCACACAGTCAGAGACTCTCTGGGAAAAGATTGATATAAAGACAGATCTATGAGTCAAAGGATTTTCATGAGTGTACAGGGTAGTTCTTTCTCATTATGGTGCCACTGATGTACGAACTAAAGAAAAGGTTTTGATATGTAGTATGTTGTTAGCTGAACTCAGAGTTGATCAAGCCAGAAATGGAATTTGATTTTTGAGAAAATTTTTCTAACTTCCCAGGCAAGGCAGGCTGTTTTCAACTGCAGAGTGCTTAGGGGTTGATTGAGGTAACACTGCTGTTTTGACTACTTACCAAAAAAAAAAAATCGATACACTGCACCTTGTTTTTATTCTGTGAATGATTAGGGTATTATACAAGGGGAAGGAAAAAGTTAATATTTATTATCCATGCTAAAGGAAAGCAGAGGTAAGGTGAGTGATATTGATAGTGGGGAACCCCCGTAACTTCACCAATAATACTCATATTTCATTTTAGTCAATTGTTTCAACTTGCTTCTCTACTAATCTTTTCTTCAGAATAAATGGCAAAACTCAGTAACTTGATGGTTACGTTTTGTCTTAATTTCTACGATGTGCCAAATTGCTAATGAACATTAAATGGGCCAACAGATTAACCAGAAAAAGGGAGGAAAAATGAATTTATATATTTGTTACTACAGCTTCTTAAATATAAACTAGTTGGTACTGATACCATGACTTTAATATTAAACATCACAAATAAAGGAGAAGCTGGTGATAGGGAACCCAAGGTTGAGTAAGGATATTGTTGATGTGTTGTGAGATTGTTAATCATTGTCATAGGGCAACATGTGTAGTAACT